AATAAAACGAAACTTCTATAACTCGAAGATCTCGTGTCTCCCCTTGCGATACCATTTACCAAGGTTAGATTGTATTATGTATTAATTCTTTATAACGATAATTACCTATATTAAGTATTGTATTATTTATGCATTTATTTTTGCCCCCGACGGTAGCCATTGTAACGAAACAAGATCACTGAAAATCCCGATCGGGTTTTCCCCGGTCAGGGGAGTTCAGTGATAACTACAATCAATCAAAATTACTACAAATGAAGGATACATACGTATCGAGTAATATCAGGCGAGTATAATACTGTTTTACGCTTTATGTTCATTGATTTTTTATTCCCTTTTGTCAATTAATCATCGTGTAAATTATATTTGTCGTAGATACCCAAATTAATTTCAATTTTAAAGAATTTCATTATCAACTTTATCTATTTTTAGGGCATTATCATATCATTTATATAAAATAATACTTCCAAGAATATAAGTTTAATTGTTTTGCCTGCTATAGTGAAAAAAAGAATATTCAATAACACTAATGTAAATCCAGTGTATTTCACTTGGACTACCTTACTTTACGCATACGTTCTCGTAAAAATTAAAAGTACAATTACTATACAATGAGAAACAAAATTCTCAGGAACATCAACTGCTGTCAGCGACTAAAAACTTATTGCTCGTTACAACTAAAAACTTCTTTCATTATAAATACCAAATCAATTCAATTAATCGGTCAGAGCATCGCATTTCCACAAAATGGGAAACAAGTTCCGACCACCAACTAATTGAACGTTTCAATCAACGCAAAGCGCCAATTAAAATAATCAATTTTACATAAATACTTGCGACCAGAAATCCTTGCTTCAACGTACAAGGTAGTGCAACTGGTCTACATTATCTTCTATGTATTACATTGTTGGAGAGCAAATGGTAGTTTGATACAGTTTCACTTTACTGGCCTTGTTACTGTTCTAGTGAAAGGCACACTTGGCAAAAACGATCTGTATAAAATTGCAACTACGTTAAAAATATAAATGCAAACGATCGCTTACACTCCAGCGATTCAAATACTTGCATCCGGTTAAACGTGTACTAAACATATCTCGCAATTGTTCTAAGCTAACGATCATGATCATTAAGTGCTTCTAATTGTATTCAAGCTGGTTTCATTCATAACAGGGACTGGTTTCGCTGTTGCGTTCGTAAATATCGGAACAGGATTCGCGGTCCATCTCGGGTTTGTCTGCACGTATTTGTAGAATTCCTCGCCAGGGCAGACAGTATTCCTCACCTGACGGTGGCCTATCACCTGGTAAGTTTTGCTGATTTTGCCCAGCGATACTCCGTACTCGATCAGACCGTTCAGAGCCTGCAGCGCTGCCTCATTAGGAAGGAAATCTGCAAAAAATAAATATTCGAATTCGTGGAACCGGTCTATAAAAATCTCTCATTCGTTAACGTTCGCGACCAGTTTTTACAACTTCAAAGTTATCTTTGTTCTTCTATAGAATTTGCGAAGTAAACTATTTGACTGAATAAGTAAAGTATTAATAATTTAATTAAAGAAGTAAACTATTTAATAAGTAAACTGTTTAATTCAATATTTTATAATATCCCTAATGTAGAATTCTGTATGAACTGATGAGATTAAAAGAATTTTTATTAATTTATTAAATTGCTGCATCGATTATGCTGTAACCAATTATTTATATAGGAACTCTATTTACTCTGAAACGTACGGATTTTTAAGTGAATTTAAAGTTAATTCTTATATAAAAGTTTTAAAGTACTAAATCCAAATATATTGGTGGAGAAAGAATTCTATTATTTCTTGCTAACTTTTCGAAAAAGAATTTCTGCTTTAAGGACGAACGCGTGGTGCTAATTACAGTAATACTAACTCTCTCGAAGCAAGTGCTGTGTAACAGTTGCTTTAGTAATAGATATTTGTATAGTATAAATTACACAATAAAATAAAATTTTGAGCCCTAAATATCTTTAAGAAGCTTTAGTTTTCTAATGCTGCAGAAACTGACAACAAAAAATTGAACCTATCTTTTACTTAAGTACTTTATAATATTAGATTTCAAAATTCTAGGTATTTAATATTGTTAAAGAGCCTCTAAGTTTTCTAATGCTATTGAAACTAAGAACACCTTCGACAATCTACTTTGCAATATTTAAATACGTTATCATATTGAATGTCAAAATTTTAGATACCTAACACTTTCGGCAAATCTAGAATATTATAGGAACTGCAATATTACTAATGCTACAAAAATGATACCGTTCCGTCGATGTGATCAAAAGACATCTTTCTATTAAACCTTCAAACTGTAATAAACTCCAAAAACATACCTACGTTCCGAGGTATCAAACATTTCAACCCCCTTAAAGGAAATCATTCGCGAAGCTGATTTTTCAGCTTCCTAGTCACATGTTTTGAACCAGGTATTTATCTTAAATTCTAATCTTTGATACTCACCGCTGAAATCACCGATCACACATATCCCAATACTCTGAGTATTGTATCCAGGTGCATGAGCTCCGACGTAATCCCATCCGCGACCCTCGTACGCGTTTCCATCCTCGCCAATAACGAAACTGTAGCCGATATCGAACCAGCCGCGATCGTCAATGTGGAGATTTTGGTAGCTCCTTACGATTGCGGAGCATGACTGTTGGTCGTGGCAATACTGAGGGATTCCTCCGTGATGTATTACGACGTAAGCCGTCGGTGTCGACATTACCTCACGTTCGACAGGTGGCCTGGCTTTCCATTCTTCCCTGGTAATGATTTTGAAAGAATCTGGACAAACAGATCGTAACGTCTGCGTAATTATACGAAAAACTATTTCGTTTTTAACTTATCTATATGATTAGGGTACGTACGTTTTTAGACTAGATTGTGAATGAATAGTACAATCAATATTACTATATTATTATATTATTAACATTATTACTGTTATTTACTGTATTACTATAATATTATGACTTCAAAATCGGTTTCGATGAAGTAATCAAATCGGAATGTAGTATTGATACGTCTATTAAAAATATAGAAGTAAGGGAAAGTGTGAAATAGAAAAATGTAGATAAAGTGCAAATTAATACGCGATTAATTAAGAATTGCAATCAATACGGAGAAAGGAAAAGGAAAGTGGAAACGAGGAAAATATTTAAATAAACAAAGTCAGCAGACCGATCGTTGCAATGATGAAACTATGAAACTTATACGTAAATTATGCTGCAGAAGAAAAGAAAGACAGTAAGCATATTTTAGAAAATCATGCTTGTGCAATTCAAAGTCAAGAACGACGATTACTATTGTCCGGTATCATATGAGTAATAAAAATTACCGCAAAGTGATTGATATCGGTAAACAAAGATTAAAATCTGTGATAATCGAGCATAGAGTTTCGTTATTTTAAAAATAGTCCATTATATGTAGGTACACGCTGTAAAAAGTGGTCTCTAACAAATAATTTTACTGTTCCTTTGTCACAGTAATTAACTCCATAAAATGAAAAATAGAAACATTTGATGAAATCACGTACACAAAGAACAGATCCAATGTTTTAACACTGAAAATTGAAGACATTCAAAAAGTGGAGTTAACTAAACACTTCGGCCTGTGAACGACTCAATAAAAAATCATTAAAATCTACACGATTATTCGACTGAATCTCAACACTAGATCAACACTAGAAAAAGTACATATTCACTCGTATAGACCGCAGAAATTAGAGCTTCAAGCCAGATAATTAGGATACTACAAGCGTAACAATAATAATTGCATCAATCGACATAAACTTTCACGAAATTTATTTCGAAAATTTAGTACCTGCCAAACTGACAGGTTTCGGAACTTCTACCGTTAATCTCGTGTACGAGTACGAGCTAAAATTTCCTCGAAGAACTGAAACTTGTTCGGTAATTATTGAAAGGAAAACCATTTACCTGCGTTATTGTAACATATTTCCCAGTTAATTGGTAGGCCAAGAACAATAATCCCGAACGATGCAAGCAAGATTAACGCACAGATTGCGGATACGAGCGACATGTATGATCCCATGATTAGCAGTACTGTAGCAGCTCATATTAAATGTGTAACTGTACGTGAATCGCGAAACGGCGTCCGCTTTTAAACGAAAAATTGAACGTGGCCGGGAAGTCCCTCGAAGGCGCACGTTGGGTCTTTCAACCCTCTCCCCGCCACAGGTCGTTCAATCGCGAAAACACGACCGAACCGCGCCAAATTCGTTTCTCCTGGTTCCTCGATGGTTCTCGGGCCGGCACACGTGAAACGCGAAAAAAACAATTCGTTTCGTAATCTCCACGTCGGAATAAAAATCAAAAAGATAGTGGATACACAACGGTGGTGGGAAATGGCGCGCGATAAGATTCAACGCACGATAATTACATGTGTGTCGATGCCGAGTGTGGGCTTGCATTCGATAATTAATACATTGCACAACAATCTACAATGGCAATTGTTCGACCGTTCCGTTAGAGAATTTATAAATGCATTTTTTTTACTGCAGTTGTCCTTCCTTCCGGAAAGAAAAAGTTTCGAGTTCCACAAAACGTTATGTGATCTGATCGAATTCGGTGATACGGCGACGTTTTCCTTTGAGTTCGTATGATTCCGTTGAATGCACTTTGTTGTTGTTGCGAATGCCAGAGTGTTTACGGTTTTTAGGCCTGACAGATAGTGATTTCAAAATAAAACCTGTTCTGCGTATTGTTTATCGTGTTGTGACACGTGATACTTATTTCTTTGAATTACTATTAATTCTGTGATTATGATTCTTGAGTGCGTTGATTGTTGTGTCAATTTTCTTAGGATTTATTATGTCTAACGTACGTATTAAATGTATTGTATTAAAATGAATTACATTTTAATTGGTTAGATATATTATTTTAATATTGTATTCACTAAGGGATTTCATGTTATGCTTTTTATTAAATGATATAGTATTTAGGTCATTATTTCACGGGGAGCAAATGAATTCGATAAAATTGGTAATGTAAGTTTTTAGTAATTCTCTATCGAATTACAGATAAAAACAACGGAACTTAATAATATTGTTATCAGATTGATTTTGATGATACTACTCGTTTCCTCATCTTTATGTTGATTTTTTCAAAAGATTAGATTAAAAACAGAAAAGACAACGAGTGTTAGATATGTCAACTGCGTTTCAATTCGTTGAATCCTCATGCAATGACGAAACATGTGAAAGTTGTTGCAGGTGCATCTGCTTCTGATTGTTAAAATTTTATTTATAAACAATTGTAATACCGTTGTGTTTATTAATGACATATTGTAGCGGATATTATATGGAGTAACAAAATAGTATTTCTATTCTTTTTTAATGAAATTTTTATTAGTAATCATAATCAAGAAACGTTATTTGAGAAAAGGACGAAAATTGTGATACTTAGAAAGAAAGACACTTAAAATTTTATTTAAAAAAGAGATACAAACAATGATAAAAACGGGTCAATTAACGTACATAAAAACATTAAAAATAAATCATGGTGTACACTTAAAATATTTTAAAATTACTAATTTTCATAATGATTTATAGAAATTATCATAAAAGAAAATATATACTCATGGTTCTTTAATTACATTTGCCAAACAAACTTCAGAGGTCGTTGTATACCAGAAATCGCCTTCAGTAGAGATCTAACTTATCTTCGACAATGTTGTGGACGGTTACCCCATTTAAGTTTACCTTTTTCCGTTTCTTTTCGTTGGCGAAAGTGCACGGACAATTACCAAAATCAAAATGTTCAAATTCGGATTTCCGAAAGACGACGAAATGAAAGGTAATCAGGAAATTTACTATTCTACCCAATCGATATAAAATGCTCATAATTTTTAAGGTTATATCCAAGCCACATTGCTTTCTACATATTCGTATTTACGTGACTTTAAACGAGTTCTTTAAAACATTTATTAATCGTCCTTTTGCGTTTAACGAAAGGGATATTTTACACGTTAATTGCATACAGAGATCCATATGTTGAGTAATAATTTCAGAAAATGATGTTAATACTATAAAATCTACCGTTGATTGGATACCTGCATCAAAGGTTCTAGTATCCGAATTGCAAATCGAAAAACAATTCGTACCGAATGATTACACGGTAAGCACAGTATTTCCCAGGTGTAAATTAAAATTAATTCGATTCGATAAAGCTTTACAAGACTTAAAAGACGAAGACTGTGTAATCATTAAAGAAGCAGAGTCACAACACTCAGATCTAGTTCCCGCCAAATACGAAGGTACTCGATGATTCATTTCCACATAGAGATCGTTATTGATTATTATTAATTACTGATGAATAATCACGCTTCGTCATCGACAGTGGTAGAAAATAAACAAATCGTTCGAATTTCTGTATAAAGGTGGTCTAAAAATCTGGGAATGCAGTTACGATCTAGGTCACTATATCCTCGAAAACAACATCGAATTTAAAGGCAAGGTTGTCTTGGATTTGGGTTGTGGCGCCGGTGTCATTGGCCTGATAGCTCTTCTAAGAGATTCAATCGTTCATTTCCAAGATTACGTTCGTGTCTTTTACATAGCATTTGCGATAAATTAAAAAATAACATATAATATAAAAATGTGTTTAGTACAAAGGAAACATTTTACAGAACGTAGAGGTAATTAAAACGATAACGATTCCAAACGTTTTGCTCAATTCGGAGGATCGGGAGAAAGTTTTGCAAAGATGCGAATTTTTTTGCGGGGATTGGGAGTCGTTTACGAGGTTAAATGACAATAAAAACGAGGTTTCGAGGTACGATTTCATTTTCACAAGTGAAACGATTTATAATCCTGACAATCATAGGAAACTGTACGAAGTTTTTAAAGAGAAACTGCAACCAGATGGCGTGGGGTAAGTAAAATGGCTGAAGGACCTTTTTGAGAACATTATTTAAAATTTTTAAAAATAGTAATAAATAAACTGTAATACGTTATAGAAGCATTTGAAATATGTGATTAAATTATTTAAGTATTTTATCTGTTGTTTTTCTAAACTCGTTAAGAATTATTCCAAAATTTGAATAGGAATTTTTGAAAATATATTTCCAAAATGTGACAAGAAAATTTGTTGCTTGATTTGTTATTTGATTTTCTGATCGTTGACGTGAAGGTATCCTTTCTAAGATTAGACTTTTATAGGTAACGTCGCATTCCTTGCTATTGTTTAGGTTCGTTGCCGCCAAAAGTTACTATTTCGGTGTTGGCGGTGGAATGAGACAATTTCAAAGTCTCATAGAGGAAGATGGTATTTTCGATATCGAAATAGCATGGAAAAGTCAACAGGGTAATGAACGATAGCTTAAACCCAATTAACCACCTAGACTCACTTCTCTCTCTCTGTAAATCCCAAGACTCCTCTAATTTATAATAACCTTAAATGGCCAATTGACTTTGCTTCAGCTATAGCATACGTTTAGTATATTACATTAATAGCTAACTATTTCGTATGAGTTTATATTTTATATTAGAATACATTTCAGGTGTACAAAGAGAAATTCTGAAAATCTCGAGGAAACAGCGTTAATGAATCCAACTCGTAACCATTTTGTACTTTTCTCTACGTAAGAACAATTCATTGTACTCGTAGCGTTAGCACGGAATAAATAACTCGATCTTTCGTATGCTATTACGGTGATAGTCTTTCATAAACCCATCCGTTATCTCCCTGATGGACGAGCACGTTATCGATCTTTTCGTTCGTTTTAGGCCGCCTAAAACGAATTCTATCGTGCAAACGATCGCTCTGGCCTTGCCAAAATTCCACGGAACGTGGTATAACGATATATCCGCCCCTGAAAAATAGATCAGACTCTGCAGATTGCCCGTTTTCGAATTGCATCAAACGCGGAAATAACTGCCGATACGATGATCCAGGGTATTTCGTAAAATCAGTTACCAACAATCCGGTCTTTTCACTTGTCCTTCCGGGAATTCGGCTATCAACTCTCTTTCTTTCACCATTAGTGTTTGCCTACTTGCGATCACAGTGCTCTGCTTGCTGGTTATTGCTCCTATCTGGCTGGGGTATGGCCGACTTTGAAAGTAACGATCCGAATCTTCGGCTGATGTCTTTTCTATTTTGCCTTCTACCCGGACCTACGTAATTTCAAAGGAATTAGAATATAGTAATACGTAATGTGTACAATTAAATCAGAATCTTTCAATTGTTAACGCGTTGAACGCCGTGGGGGTCACCCATGACCCCCGGCCAAATTCGATTGCTGCAATTTCTTCAATTAAACGATGATTATTTGAAAACATTTGTATATTGTAAATAATGCTACCTAATACGGTGACGTACAGCAAAACAAACCTGCGATAATAACAACGCAATTCAATGAAATAATTTAATATTGTATCTTTTTCATTTCACATATTCTGCACCTTAAAATCGTGCGGCATTCAACGTGTTAAAGATCATTCGTCAACGTCGCTCATGAAACATCATCTAGTTCATACTGTTTTTTTCAGCCTGTATCTTAACTTTGTTTAGCATTCGACTCTCGCGCAACTATACTGTGTTTATGCAACAGATAAGCATGTTTAATTGCGCTGCTAACTTAACGATATTTACTATGTGAACTCTGTTATGTACCAATCCAAACGAGCGTTGGGGAACAAAGATTTAAATGATTTATAGATTTCGAGTCCTTACGCCCTTTTAAGAAACATTGTAATATCTCGTAAGTGTTTATTTCTCATTGTGGACCCTTAAATTTACGTAATGGCCATCACATGAATCGTTAACCACTTTCATACCGTATACCATATTTCAATATACTTCTTATCTTCTTACCGCTCGGTTCAAAGGTTCCCAATAAAAGGTCAGTGCTGCATTTGGATTCTCGGCCTGAAAGAATCGAATAGATCAGTTTCCGTGGTATGCAAATTATATAATACTGTTTCGTTTTAATGAAAAATTCGATAACAATTTTATCGCTGCCAAGAACTTCCGGTGTCTCTTTCACCTACACTGTCTGCAAACTGTAACTCACCAGTTCGCGGCCCTTTCTACTTCCATAATTCGTATAAAACTTGAAACCTTCCGTACTAAAGCCTTTAAGCAGGACAGGTCTCACGGACGGTATACCATCTCTGTAAAAATTGTATTATATGTTTCCGCGAACCAGTTTGATGATAAAGATCGTTGCTCGTCTAACAGCACGTCTATTCAGTATCTGACCAGCACCGATGTATTCACATTATTTATATGTAGATATTTCAATCCTTTACGATCGGCACATTTTTCTGATGACAGTACCAACTAATCGAAGCAAAGTTATTTTTCTATAGATGGTTGATAATAAATATATGGATATTAAAAATTTGTTAAAATTAATATGTTTTGTAGAATGTAAATTCTGTAAAGAATAATAAAATAACACTGTACTCAGGAAAAAAGAACATCCCGCCATATTGGCGACACCGATTTCGAAAACAAATGTTAAATATCGTCACTGTGGCGGCACCAATCGCAAAGGGTTAACAGTTTGCCTGTTGTATCACTCGAATTCAAATGACACAACCTTTTGTATTAGATCATCCCCTAAATTTGTGTCGTTTGTTCTCCTACCGTATAAAATTATATTTCGTTAGATACTAAATTTGTATAACTTCACGACCTGTCGCTGTCGAATACCTTCTACTGGCTAAACCGAAGCAGTTCAAACTCTTATCGCTCTCAGATTACAAAACGTGACGCGAGAAGTATTAACACACCGCAGCACGCACTCATGAGACTACTTAATATAATTTTCCTAGTAACGCATCTAACGAAATGAATTTTATTTGGATCTGTAAATTTTGAAAAATTAAAGGAGTTAGCATTGCTACGAGAAATATTGACTTTTCGGTTTCCGTTTAATTCATACTAAACGTACCGGCATTCGACCTACTCCTACTGCAACCGGTCAAATAACCGATTATAAGGTAAACAAGTCGGACAACAAATGTTCGCCAGTGGAAACAGAGAAAAAGACAAAAATAGAAAGCCCGATTAATCAGATGATATAAAAACTTATATAAAAGATTAGCAATTTTCAGTAGTTAGTACTGATTCAATAGTGAACGTATTAATAGAAACGTGCATTTAACACTTTACCTACAGGAAGCCTATGAATAAATTTCACTTGAAAAAATGAAATTGTGGCATATGAAAAGAAGAAGCGTAAACATTTTCTCTTAAACGATAATTCCATTATTTTTGTAATTTCTTGTAACAATAATTCCATTTTCATTCGATAATTCCAATTACTGTCAGTATCGGTACGACCGATCGATTGTATTGACAATGAAATGTGAATATGTCGATGGTGATCTGTTGTAGACGTTGCACTGTTAAACTACGTGCTCGCTGAAGCAACAACGAGCAACTTTTTATTGATGTTGCGAGTACCTTGAAAAAAGTTGCTACTTGTCGTCTAACCCAGATTTCTTCACGTTTCTATTACTGGCATAGTCGCCTTGAAATTCAAACAAAACTCAAATGTCCCTCAGACGACGTTGCTTCAATGTAGACAAAATGTTATATTTTGGAATTTGTGTAACATACGGTATCACAAGACAGCAAAAAGTTTATTAACGCTAAAATTACCGAGCAATTGGAGTGACTTATTTCTAAGTTTTCATAAAAATCAGAACGATATATTTCTCGTGATTTGATGGATCTCTTATAGTATTTGCCCAAGTATACAAATTTATTTTACAATTTTCCGCGAAAGTCTTGTCGTAATTGAAACATTTGCAAAATGAACATTCTAAAATTAGTCAGTTTGACTCGCCTGATAGTTTTAGTGTTAATGTTGCTTCAGCGAGGACATAACTCTAGATATGCAACGATCATGAAGCAAGATAACTGTTTGAACATTACTTAGTAGCTGTACCGAGGAACATAGTGTTCGGTTCCATAATCTGCGGGGTTTTGCAAACCTCTTCGAACCATGCTTTAAACTGTCCCATGGGCTCCTTGCTCACCAGTTTATCCTCGGTGAAAGTTTCGTGTTTGTCTTTATATTTCATTCGCATTCCTATTACATGTGAACAAATATGACCGGGAAGTTGTTTCTACGGAACAAGCGCAATCGATTTATTGTAAAACCAACGATAATAGAAATGCAAATCGTGAAGCCACAAGGCGAAGCAACTGTTAACACGTTCGCTACCAGCGTCGCATATTTGTGACAGGCGCAATCTTATATTTTACATAAAGCGAATGAAATTAATCTTATACAATAGATACTGTTATTTTAAGTTATAAGCTACAGCATTATATTTAGGAACTCAATAATTTGTCCCAGTTTCATTTTTTCGATATTTTATTTAGAAGATTTATTGGATTGAATAAAATATTACAGTTGAGGAGGTCCTCGCTGAAATAAACGCTGGTAACGAACGTGTTAAGAAAACACGAACATTATTTTCCCGACAAAATATCGGACCACAAGTAGATTGAGTTGTCCGTCTATAACGATCAGTTTCTACTTACGATAAACGCAATGTGTATACCGAAGTAGAATTGCAATACAGAATTTTTAAACGCGGAGTTCTATTTATAAAATTGATTTTGCATTTATATTTATTTATTTATTTTAAATAAAATTGAAGCGAACTACGAGTGTCAAATATTAGATTTTCCAGGAGAAAGAGAAGAATTGCAATGTTATATTGGAGCATCATCTCTTAGCATTGCTGATGTGACTTAAAAAGTAAAATTACTCTTAACCCTCTATGAGCCGAATTCGTTTCGTGACTATAATAAAATTGATGCGGTATGACATTAATAAATATCAACCTATGGATACAAATTAACGATGTATTCAATAGTCTTAATAATTTTGTTAAATCGAATATATTTCGTAACTTTGAAGTTCCAATGACGTTGAACGTTTACGCCTGCGTGTATAAAAATTTAAGTTAATTAATTATTTAATTTCATTCGTCATTTTTAAATTGTTTACGACAATATTCTCATTGTTATTTAGAACGTTTTTCAATTAAAAGCTCAAACTTTTTCAATTTTCACATTTACAGTGTTCTCTACAGGAAATGGACCACTTTCTACATCGAAAGACACGCATAGAGTAACAAATACAGGTATCCTTTGTCTCTATCGTACCTATTAATATTGTTTCCCACGGTAATCTAAATTGACCGTTTCCTATTGATAGCAGTAGTGATTCGAACTAGTTTTACAATACGATTGATTCCGTGTTTTTAATTATCAATATATGAGCGCACTCTCGCGAGACACTGCGGCACCTATTATCACGCGTTAGCGTTCGATAACAGGTGTTTCGTTGGCAATTACGTAAACCACTGGGAATAGTTCAAGCAATCCATTTTCTTGTGGTAGGGAAAGTAATTTAAACTTGATCATTGAAACGCGAGAAATTCTCAGTGAAATCTACCAAATGCTCAGTTAAATCTACCAAAACCTGTACAGTTCAATTTTGACTCATGAAGAATGTACGATTAGGTCTCAAACTTTACTACTTTAAATGGGCACTATTGCATACATATATTACATACATATATATATATAATGAACGGTTGTCTAATTCTAGGGGTTAGTGTCTCCTGGAAGTACGCGGGAACCGAAAAATTTCGGTAATTATTTGAGGATCAGGATTCCCGAAATTTCCGGGAATCCCCGACGTTTTTGGGTCTCTAGATCTCCAGTTCCTGATATTTTAGGGTTCTCGCAAATCTCTAGCACATTCTTAATGGTAAAATTACCTCCGATGTCAACGCTGTAGTTCATATCTTGGGCGACAGATTTTTCTGATGACATGATGGTTACTCAGCTAAATACTCCGATTTCACAAAGGAATGACTGACACTGGTTTGAAAGTGTTATCTCGCATGGCAAAACGTTGACACAACTTTTAACGTCACATGTTCGAGGTTCCTTCCTCGTGGAAGATGGCGCGCACTGTCATGAGATGCCGAAATAAAGATTTTCTAGGATTATGTTGCTCGTATTTTATCGCTTTTTTTTTGTTTACAAAGTTTTGACACTGATACACCTGACATGTCGAAGTGGCGAAGACTTGTATTGCACTTGTATTGGTTAATGGAGTTACGATTTGAGATTAGACGAGACATTTTCGGAACATTTGCGAAAGTTGGAAACTATTCCTACGTCACTGAGATGATTAATATCGTGACATGATTTAGAAATATCTTGTAGACAATTTTGCAATGTGTAATTTATGTATGTATATCGTATTTCCATTTACTTCCTAGGTTACAGTGGTATTTCTGTTGTTTGTTATTTGACTGTATCGAATTTTTTAAATAATGATGGATAATCATTTTTCTGTTGATTGATCGATTAATGTTTATCACGGTATTTATGATTTATAGGGATTTCTAATATGTAAAATGTCAGTTTTATTGAAAGGCTAATATGAAATATTTTTGCTAAGTACATCGTGTAATGCATCGAATATTAAATATTTACTATCGGTGGTTTATCGAACAATGTTTATATTGTATAGTAAAATTAATATTTTAAAACAGATCAAAATATTCAACTGATTATATTTGTTAATTTAATTCATGAAATAAGGAAATATGTATAATGACTGCTTGCATGTAGTATAACAAACTTTATTATAAAACAATCTAATTGCTTGAAATGTTGTAACAAAAGTTATTTTATAAATGACATATTTGAATGTAATGCGGATCTATTATTGTTATTAATTTGTAATTTATTACAACGCTTAAATGAATCAACTCGTTTAAAAATTTGAAATATAAAATAAAGATTATTTCTGTATGCTTTAATGGCGAATAAAAATAAAGTACACTGTTTTATTTTGACAAGAAAATTGTATTATATATTTTTAAATAAAATATAAGTTACAACCTGTGTTAATAATTAAGAAACTACTTGTTTTCAAGTAGTTGTGTCGGTAATTGATCATCGGAAGAAGTGTTTTCTTATAAATGAAAGAAAAGTTTTGTCAGTTGCATTATTTGCAACTAACGTTTACCAAAATAAAAAAATCAATGTTTCAATTCATGGACTGTTATAACATACGATAGTATGAATCATACTACTCGTCGTATTTTGACAAGCAACAGATAATATCGTCGCTAGGTTAGAATGAAGGTATAATAAGTTTATAAACAATAGTAAGTAGAAATAAAGCGTTCGAAATGCAAAACTAAGTGTAAAATTTGATGTGTTACTTAAAAACTGTTTTTAATATGAAATTGTTCAAATCTGTATTGCAATATTCATTCATGATGTATGTCATAGTAACTGAAATATCTGTCAAATAGTTGCGGTATAAATAAACAAAAACTAGCATTGTGCTATCTTAATTAAATAAATTTGTATAAAACCTCAGGTACAAGTGTATTAAAACTATCTGTCAATAAATCTTATTTATAATGGGAGAATAATAAAAGTAGTTTAGAAACTTAAAAAGAAATAATTTATTTAAAAAAACAAGTGTACATTCTTATACAATTTTTTTTAACCACGCATTTAATTGTTCAATGTCAGCTGACGTATCAGCATCCTTACTAAATGCATTGGATTCTGCAAAGTCTATTTGTGTAACCAACTGGGAAAATTCAAAATCTTTTCCTTCTTTGCCGAGAAAGGCATTTGTAGATGATGCATCTGTAGCTTCCAGCTGACTTGTTTTCGTCATACGTAACAAATTCATTTCTCTCTCTAACAAAGTTTTTATAACAGAAGAACCCTTTGCCATAGTTTGATCTTGTTTATTACATAATACGAGCACAGATTTATTTTGCATTGAAGGATCAGATAATATATTATACAAGTACCTGAAAATGGGTGGTGTTTTATTATTTACTTTGCAGGATGTGATGCCCTGCTATCTGTATATACTTACTCTGCTACATCACGAATATCCTTTTGGAAGGTTACCGAATCAATTATATAGACTAATCCTTTTGCAGATAATTTAAATTGATCAAAAAATTTATATCGTAAACGTTCGTGTCCAGGAATATCAACAAGTTTCAAGGTACGCTAAATAAATAAATGGTAATACAGGATCATATATACGCGTCTAAACAAATGTACCTATGAACACTTACATTATTAATTACAATATCTTCTGTATTCTCTTTTGCAGACGTATAAGTTTTAACAAATTTGGAACATAATAAACGTGCAAATATCAGAGTTTTACCAGAATCGCTCAAACCAGTTAAAAGTATCCTATTACCTATGGACTTTTTTCTGCGCCATATGAAAAATAACACTGAACAGATAAACAAAGCGAAGGATTATACACAGTATCATAATGCCTACACTTAGCTTACCAACATCACACAACCATATAAAGTTAAGTATATGGATATTCTGATTTAAACCAACAAAGTTCTTAAAAGATGTACCTATTTTTGTTTTATATATATAATTACGATATTATGTTTCTTGAACTCCTTGTATGTATTATTATACTTCTTCTTTTTTATCGTACATATTATGATATACATTGATTTTAAACGAATGAGTGTAATTGCTTATTGGACTTGGTAAATAATGTTAAAAGATAATATGAAATTTATGAATACTATTAAAATATACTTTATAATTTGCATATTTCAATGATGTTCCTGAATGTTATCCTCTCATATGATTCACCAATATATCTAAGACCTACCTAATTATGACTAGGAATTATATATTATGATACACAATTAGTTTCATGCGCTGTAGAAAAGAATTTACAATGCTATTTTGATCAATGTAATAATAAATAGAAGGAAAATATATTTCTTGCATAAATATCAGATTATCACTATATTGCGTATAACTTTTAATACATAAATATCATTTATTTCAAAATAATATACGAAGCATAAGGCAAACGTAACCTATAAAACTATGTACATTACCTATGGTTAAGACAATCGCTATTATAGCAACTATAATGCCCATAAATTCGGAATCTGCATAGTGATCCATTAATGGTTTTATTTCTTTTATCATGTTTACAGTAGTTGGTTAATTACAAATCACCTCGTGGTCATATGCTGACTTATTTAAAATCACAACAATGTAATCTACATATATCTTACACTCATCGTGTAAGAAAATGACATGCTACAGGAACAAAGGTGACACCTACATGTATAATCATTGACAGTTTGAGCATTTTATCACGGATGGCACCACAGTGATTCGGCATGAACTTCCACATTGGTAACATTTGTCTACCAGTTTGAGCGTTTTGCCACGGATATCGCTACTAGTCAAAAGCGCAGATTTTCGGAAACAGATAATTCTTGCCGCTATGTGCATTTTATGGTATGCACAGAATGGTAAGAATTATTCATTGTATTGGAAATATTAGCTTGAAATTTTTTAATTTTAATTTGCAACCATTAACTCGACATTACTCTAAATTTATAATGTCTTATCCAGAGCAATATCGATTGCCTTGATCTGACTACGTAGAAATTACTGCAAGAGACCTAGGCAGGTACATATGTAGACACCTCTGCGTTAAGGCAAGAGTGTCGAACTGAGAATGTGTGAACTAGAAAACTCTCTAGGGTTTTTCCCCTCATAGCCTGTTCAACGAGAGTTACCCTCTCCATACCTACTTCCACCTATTATATTGATCACACATAGAACTGTTCGCCTACCAGTTTCGGACAGCTCCTAATGTAGAGATAGTAAGGGAACCCCTAATCGAGAGTTACTAGTTTGAGGGGAGGCAATTTGTCACCTCTGATCTAGAGTTAAATGAATCAAATAAACTTGGTGTATTATGTAAAAGTGCATAAGTTGGCATTAGGTGTGTCATTCATGTAGCACGAAAAGTATTTGTAATTGTTTTGTTACATTTTCAAATTGTTCCCACAGTATTATATTTATCAATTTCATTTATATTAAATATATTTGAAGTTACCATTATTTTTATAAGTGAAAATGTGTAAAGCAATTTTTGTTATTGTCTTCTTAAGTTTATTAATTAATGAAGGTATAACAACAAATTAAATTGCTATTGTATGAAGGGTGTGGTTAATGTCAGTTTATTTTATAATTTAAATTGTATTTACAGGAAAAGGTTTATACTGCTATAGATGTAACAGTAATCACCCTGGGTGTGGCACACCTTTAAATTGGTTATGGTATTGGGGAGAGACTTGCCCGGAATATGATGATAAATGTGTAAAAATAATCGAACGAAAAGGAGGTGTGTGTTTCCACACACATTTGTGGTTGTATCTTATATATATTTATACACATTTATGATAATTTATATTATTATGTTTGTTTCAGCTGAAGTAACTATAACACGTGAATGCTTGAGCTCTGTTCGTAGCTTTAGAAAAGATATACCAGCTGATCGCTATGAAGGTTGTCGACCTGCTGCTAAAGATCTTCACTTAGGTCATTATGTGAACAATTCCATTCATCAATTAGATATCCACAGAGACTATTACGATGAAGTAACATGGTGTTTTTGTTATTTTGATCACAGATGCAATAGTGCTGGTTCTATTGCTATATCAACATTATTATTGTTTGTAGGTGTGGCAATACAACAGTATACTATATAAAATGGTTACATATCATATGATTTTTAATGCATTTTTATAAGTTTGTGCAAATTAATTTTTTTATTGTCATAATTTTCAAAAATTTAATTGGAAACAATATAAGTGTAACCTGTATATAGTGTAAATAAGCACTTACAATATAAATAATTTCATTACATAAAACCAGAAATTGATTTAAATTGTTATTCTGATATTAACAATATTTCTTCATGCAAGATGTTTTTTATATGATCTACATTTTTTTAATTGAAAGTCTGACATTGATATATGTTTATAGCGAAATAAGGATAAGCTACTAACTGTAGCTTGTGTTTAATATTTGTTCCGTCCAAAACTATCTCTTGTAATGTCAATGCGAAAGTACTAGTACTTTAATACTAAAAGTACCAAAACTCTGTTTATAACTCTACCTACAGTAACTAGTCAAATAACTAGTTATAAAATAAAGGTAAACAAGTTAAACAATAAATATTTCTTGTTGGAAACAAACGGAAGGAAAGACAAAAATTGAAAAACTAGTTAATTGGATAATATAGGAATTAATTTATGTTAAGTGAACAAAGAAAAACGGAGAATTTTAAATCAAATTTAACCGTTCGCAGTACAACTGTTAATATACAAAAATGATATTTGAAACACTGTTAGAGTTGTCTTTAGCTGTTAATTATTGATTAATATATTCGCTATTATATGGATTGAATAAAAATATATTGTAAATTTCCAATTATACAAAACTAAAGTAAACATATAATAATGGGCATATTACCTATTATATAATATGTGTTATATTAATGTACTCAGAATTAAATTTGTGTCACACAAATATAATACTGTTAGCGAATGTATTAATACGTAATGTTACTATTTATAAAAGGGTGAGCAAGAATATTGTAAGATTTATGATGAGAAACTAAAAGAATATTTTATACTTTGTAAATTTGTGAACCAATGTATTTCTGCAGTTATGATTTTAAGCACCCTTTATCATTTTACGAGAATAACTATACATATCAAGTTGCCGTCCATTGTTAAATAAGTAGAATTACTTTAAAAATTATATTACATATTATAGATTAGTTTTTATAATATTTTTGTAATCATGTATTTGTATTTAAATATTATCATAATAAATTTCTAATAAATAACATGTTCTCACTTATATTTACAAACTTTATTGCAGTTAGTTGCATAGGATTTTTCTTTAGCACTTAATTATAAACCTGTATCTATTAGAATAAAAATAACAATCTTGCCTCTACTAAAAATGAAACACAGTATATAATAAGTGTTAAAGAATTTTGGTTTGTTGAAGTGGTTGTATATTTTATAAGAAATAATATGAAATAACTACTAATTATTATACAAAATTGTATTTTTTATTACAAAACACTTTATGACAAATTAACATCAATGAGTACAATAGGTGCAGAAAATAAAGTCTTTCAAAGTTCTTTTTTAAGAATTAAATACAAAGGAGTGTTTATGTTTTTGATGATAAATGAAAATAAATGCTTCATGCTAGGTATGGAAGCACAAAATGATAATACTGTAGAGACAAAAATTGACACTTATTGATATAAGATTTCAATAAGATTCTTTAAGCTGCTTTTACAGTCTGGTCTTGACTTCTTCGTTGAACTGAATTCTTTTGCGGTGAAGCTTCCTTTTGTGTTTCTATAGGCTTCGTACTATCTTTTATTGCTGGCTTTCCTGTGACTTCGATTTGAATAACTCTTTCGTTCTTCGATTTCGGATCCAAGTCTTTTCTTGGCGCTGTGATAGTCAAAACTCCATCAGAAGAAAGACTTGATTTAAGTTCATCAATATTACATTGTTCTGGTATTAAGTATTTCCGTGAAAATTGCCTTGAGATCCAACCATGCTCATCTTGCTTTTCTTCATGCTTCCCCTCAACAATTACATTATTTCCGGAAACTGTAATAGTCATTTCTTCTGGAGCAAATTGCTGAACATCCAAGGTTACTTGGAATTTATCTTTATCAGCTTCTATTGTTGAAACTCCACTATTACGATCGGTTTTACGACTAAGACTTCTTTCATAAGGATGTCTGCGAAGACCGTGACGACGAGGTCTTAGGACTAAGACGTCAGAGTCTAATGGAGGCAATATATTAGAAATCGGTAAATCGTCAACATCTACAGGCAATCCAAAGTGTTGATCAAAAAGACTATGTGGTTTTTTCAGATCTTCCCACCAATTGGAGTATAATATCGGAAGTAGAGACATTATTTCTTTTTTCGATCAAGTTTCGATAACGGAATAAAAGACCTCAAAGTGGGCTCAGTCAATAGACTCTTTTGCTACTTTTTCAAGTAATTATTTATTTCACAGTTATTGGAATGATCACTTCTTTTCTTAAATAGTTCAGTACAAACGGTTACAGATTTATATTTCGGAAGCAAGGTTCACGGTTCTAACCTTCCTCGTAACAGCTCCTTTCGAATCTATTCGCAATGGCTGCTAAACACGAATATATGTAAGATACTATATATTCGCACGCTTTGAACGCATAGTGGGGGCTCTGGTGTTCCAGGAGCATGTAGAATATTCTGGAAGCCGTACCTTCTAGAAATAAAGATAAAAACAAAATTAATTGAGTAACATAATGATTCAAACTATAAATTTTTAATCGAAGAAAACAAATTTTATAAAATAAGAATTAAGAATTTTGTAGGAAATTGTTTTCGCGAATTTTCTATCTGTATAAAATGTGCGGGTTATACAAATGAAATATTTGCATTGCCATTCATTTTGAAATAATATAATAAATAATACATGTAAATAATAAGTGTAAGTGTTTAATAAATGCAATTCCAATTGAATTACTTCAATAAAATTCCTTTCCATCTTATTTGTATTGTTTACACGTTTTTTTTTAATTAATCATGAATTAATTTCAAGAAATAACTTTAATTCGACATTCTCCAAAAAAGTACGACTGAGTCAAAATTCATCTATATTACTCAATGAAAGATTTTGAAAAAATTTCTTTTAAGTAATGTACAATGTTTACTATTATAATATTTTCCCTCATCATTTATAACATTGAAGTTATAAAATTATACAGTAAATTGTCAACAACATTTACTAACATTTTGTATGTTATTAATTGTAATAATGGGTAATAAGATCCGGTGAATATTAAATTGACAACCAACAACAATCATCTTAGTCTCTCATAGGCCATAATGATAAAAAGTTGAGAGAAAAAATAAACGTGTGTAGACTATTTTAATAAAAATAAATGGATCTTCCTGGTAAATAATATTAGATGTATGATTTATCTACACTCATAGCTAGGGTACACGTATCCGCAGTATAAATGCTCATTCTCGAAACCTCGGGAAACGACACAGGCTGCGCGAGATACACATAAAAGCAGTCGTCGCAGCGCAGTCACCAGTATTCACGTAGCAACCGAACGGTGAACGTCGCAAGAACAAACGAGTCCTCTTTGCTTTTTGAAGCAAGCTTGTAATATCCGAGTTACATTACCAAGTTAAATTGCAAAATGTCTCTGGTACCATTGCTTTTCTCTGACTGGTGGGAGGATTTGGACCATCCGCATCGGCTGATGGATCAGAATTTCGGGTTAGGCCTCACCCCCGACCAACTTCTAAGCCCAAGCCGGTTGGAGCTGTATCTGCAACCACGAAGAAGAACTGCTAGTTACTACAGACCATGGTCCGAATTACTTCGCTCCAACGAGACCGGCAGCTCTACTGTCCAGGCGGACAAAGATAAATTCCAAGTGGTGCTCGATGTTCAACAATTCGAGCCGGAGGAGATCGATGTTAAAGTCGTCGACAAATATGTCATCGTTACGGCTAAGCACGAGGAGAAGAGGGACGAACATGGCTGGATCTCTCGTCAGTTCACCAGAAAGTACATGATTCCTGAGCAATGCGACATTGATCAGGTTTCATCGAAATTGTCATCGGACGGCGTACTCTCCATCACTGCGCCGAGGAAGGATCAACCGAAGGTGGAGAACGAGAGAGTAGTGAAGATTGAACATACCGGTAAACCGGCGATCCAACCCAAGTCGTCGGCCAAACCCAAGCAGAACGAAGAGGAGAAGGAAGAGAAGAAGTAATGAGATATCATAAAATGTTCGCTGCCATTCCTATTCTTACTTATTGTAACCATTGTTCATCTCACACTCTTTAGATACTATTTAAATTCTATCGTAGCATTTTCGCTTTATCACTAGACACATACATCAATGTTAGAAATGCATAATATGCTGTAAATCGTATTATTGTGTTCTTAGAACTTTCAATATTTAGTCATTTGATGAAATGTGCGACTACATGCATACATATGTATGTGTATGTATATACATATATATATATAATATATATATATCCTATATACCATTACATAGAATTTCAGTTTTTGTTTAACTTTGGTTAATAAAATTATCGAATTATCGAATTTTGTCGTATTTATTTTTTCTCTTTACATGCATTCTATCCCAGAATTTTCCTTATCGATCGGATAATATTGAATAAAACGATTTTTTGAATTCTTGTATTCGTTATTTAATAAATGTTTTATAATTTCAAGATACCTTAACAAACATTGTTTTATGTCGTCGATTTTGTAATTATAACTAAAATTGCACTTAATTTGTGTGCAGTATACGTAACGAAATTGCTACATTATCACATAGTTGAATAAGTTTATTCGCAGAATTCTAAGGTAGCATTTATTTCTTGTGACTCGATAAAATCATCGTTAGAACAATTATTTTGTAATTCAAATACAAGAATCAACACCCAATCATGTATTGTTTAAAATGTATACGTTTATACGCCAGCATTTAAAAATATTTAATAAAAATATTGAAATGCACATGTAAAAGTTTATTTTCTGTATTGACATGACATATCACAATTTCGATTAACGAAAACTTGAAACGAAATTGGTTATGTAATTATTAGATAATATATGTAATTATTACGTAACCAATTTCGTGTGCAATTTTCGTATTTGCAGCTTGTATCGACTATTCATAAAAATTTGTTTAAATTATCAAACAATTTAATTAAAACCAAATCTTACAATAATAAAATAGTATAATATTGGATAAAAACATAATTGCAGAAGTACGAAAAGTATAATTTCCATAATATACTATTTAACTTTATAAGAATTTATCACACAGTTCACTTATTTTTCGAATATACAATACATAAATATTTATATGTATACATAATACAAATACCGAACACTAAACTAGAAGTACAAAATACTAAACATTTAATACAAATATATAAAAATGGTCGATTTTTTATTGTCTCTGTTTTATTTTCTGAGGTTCTTCTGTTGGTGTACTGGTATGTTCGATTTTAATCGTTTTTTCTCGTTTGTTTTCAACAGCTTCTGGTTTCCTTGGTGCTGTTATGGTTAGAATGCCCTCTTGTGTCCATGTACTGGTTGCTTTTTCGGGATCACATTGGTCCGGTACTAAATATTTTCTGACAAAGTGTCTCGAAATAATGCCATGGTCATCTTGTTTATCTTCGTGCTTCCCTGTGTACGATAAAGACTGTTAATCAAATACGAGACGCAACTATTATTATACGTCTCATTGTCCCAACGAGAATGCTAATGAAAGAAATGCAGACCTCATTGGTCAATTTTAATTTTCGATATATACGTGTCATTCGTCAACACGGTTACACATAAACAATGGAAACTACAAAAACACTCAGACTTCTCTTGCCCCTGCACCCACCAGCTTAACATTCTTGTTTGAGACGCATATTTACATTTAATTAAAATAAATTTTTGTTGAACAGAATCAGTTTGAATAAAACCAGTTTCACTCAGTCGGAAACGAAACACTTACCTTCAACAACGATATAGTTGTCGATGACTTTTACATTAACTTCTTCCGGTTTAAATTGTTGCACATCAAGCGCAACGCGGAATTTGTCTTTGTCATCTTTCACGACAGACCATCCAGTTTCTTCTTCCATTTCTTTTACCATATCTACCCATTGTTGATAAAAACCACTTGGATAAAATGCGCTCGGTGATCGGTTAAATACTGTTGGGAAAAATTGTTCCGGTCGTATTGATCTGCCGAAACGTTGATCGAACAACCGATGAGGCCGATCTAATGTTTCCCACCAATGGGAGAACAGTTTTGGAATTAATGTCATTCTCGACCTCATTTTTTAAGGTTAATTGGTTGTCTAATTCAGTGTTGAGAAAAACTTGTTTCTTGACGCGCCGACGATGTTGATCGGTTGCTTGTCCTGTCTAAACTGGCAGCCACAGCCTTGCCACGCAGTTCTATATATGTATAAGCCATAGTGGGATATAAAAGCGACAGACAAAGTTGATGTATCCTGAAACTTCTTGAATCGTCTATAACCCTTTGCACTCTCAGTTACCATACGATTTGATATACCAAAATCATAAAGTCTTACATATAACATTAAGCTTCTTATTCATATTCCATGAATATGTGAAATATTGAAATAATAACTTTTTCTTCACTTATGTATATTCCCCCATTCAATTCGATTTAAAGGATACCGTCTATAACTCATTGGAAACTATTGAATATTTCTAGTGAAAGACTTCCGAGTGCAAAGGGTTAACTATTTAGAAATTATTAAAAAATTTTGTTAATTATGGAGTATTATTATGTAATATTTCCCGAATATTGACATAGAAAGTATTGCTCATTTGTTATGCTATTTCTCTAGCAAATTCTATTGAATTATGTTATTTGTCATATGCATGTTGCGTGGTTAAAATTTTCAGGTAAATTGCATCAGCTATTAGTTTAGACCCAATAATATTGCGTCAACTACGATAATACTATAGTATGTATAACAACATGATTTAATTGCTACAATATAGGTGCAATATATCTAAAAATAAAAATAGTAATCTACTTATAATGAAGAAAGTATGCATGTTATACGAGTTAAGTAATTCAATATTTAAATTAAATTAGCTGTTATGTACAGTTTCAACGAATGGTAATATATTTAGATTACATGTAAATACTTAAATTTCTTTTAAATATTTCACTGTTCTTTCGGACTTACAATAAAAGTAAAAGCCCGTGGCTTGGTGGTATTTATAGCCTGTAGTACTTTAAAACGTGGATCGTACGTTTAGCTTCGTCGCGTGAACTTGGATCGATGTGGAGTACTGAAACGTAGCAAGGGAGACACTGACCTCACCCAACGTGAAAAGTATTTCTAATGTTATACTAGATGTTGTTTTCTTATAAATATTTCGAAATTCACCAAGAGGTTAGTGGAAAGAATCAGATATTAGTTCATAATTAATACTAACGGGTTTGCAAAATAGATTATGTAGTAACAATAAAATACAAAAGAAACTCTTCTGTCTTACTTTCTAATGAATTACTTTAATATATAGATTAAAAATAGACTCTTTTGTCTAGTATTAAATGAGCGTTAAATTGTTTCGAAATGAAACGTTGTTTATATAAGAAACAGGTATTTAATAGAACTGGAACATCTGCTTCTTATGTAACTGGAGAAAAATAATGAATCATATTACATACATTCCTGGTTACAATGTAAAAGAAGGTTCAAAGTTCTTAGTCATTTGCATCTTGTGTTTGCTGGCATTCATCGGGTATTTTCTAATTTCGTATCATGTTGTGTCGCGACGTAGCTCAGCGGAACCCATGGGTCGGGATAAAAAGGTTGGTACAAGGTTACTACGCATTTCGGCGCAGCTCAATCTGTTTCGCTCAAGGCCTGCAGACAATAACGACGCCATATCTACGACGTAACTGACAACGGAGGGTAGTTGTTTACTTAATAATAAAAAGTTTCAAAAAGGTTTTGAAAATGTTTGGTCCAATAGTTTCTGAAATCTGACGATGAGAAACATTACCTCGATTATTTAGATAATGAAAAAGTTTCTTAGTCAATCAAAAATACAATTGTATTAACCCCTTGCCATATGACAACGTGTCAGATTAGTGTAGAAGATTTTAAATAAAATTTAATGAGTATAAGTATTACTAAACTCTTTTGAATTCAAATTAAACATTATTTTT